CGAATCTTCGTCATAGTCATCATTGTCTTCTTTAAACCAAATGATCATTTCTTGTTTTGTCTTTTCCCATGACTCATCGTTTTGAAATATGTGGGTGAGGTAAAATTTGAAGGCCTCACCAGTCACGTAGTCGCTGAAGTTTGTAACCATCTCCCGTTCCAACCATGATGCAGCGGTAGCGTGGAGCTCGAACAGGTCGAACCAGTTCTGTACAGGTCCATCGTCCACTGCTCCGGTGTACTTGGGGGGATGGAAACGGCAGTCAATGATTCTGGCATGGTGCTGGTCGCTGTGTGCGGCCAGGAGATGATTCCGTAGTCGATGTATGGTCAGGGCGTCTTGTGTAGAACTGCGTCGATGATGAGACACTGATGAAGTGGCTGGGAGGTCTTCATCCTGTCGACTCATGTGATGCTATGATGACTGGAAGACGTGGCCTGGCTCATACCCCATCTTTATTCTAATCTCACTTCTTCTTTCTCGGCTTCTACTTCTAACTCCTAACCATCGCTACCTTCTTACGTTACATAAGTGTGTGTGTTAAATAGATAGATAGATAGATAGATAGATAGATAGATAGATAGATAGATAGATAGATAGATAGATAGATAGATAGATAGATAGATAGATAGATAGATAGATAGATAGATAGATAGATAGATAGATAGATAGATAGATAGATAGATAGATAGATAGATAGATAGATAGATAGATAGATAGATAGATAGATAGATAGATAGATAGATAGATAGATAGATAGATAGATAGATAGATAGATAGATAGATAGATAGATAGATAGATAGATAGATAGATAGATAGATAGATAGATAGATAGATAGATAGATAGATAGATAGATAGATAGATAGATAGATAGATAGATAGATAGATAGATAGATAGATAGATAGATAGATAGATAGATAGATAGATAGATAGATAGATAGATAGATAGATAGACGGACGGACGGACGGACGGACGGACGGGCGGACGGGCGGGCAGGCGGGCAGGCAGGCAGGCGGGCAGGCAGGCAGGCAGGCAGGCCAGGCAGGCCAGGCAGGCAGGCAGGCCAGGCAGGCCAGGCAGGCAGGCCAGGCAGGCAGGCAGGCCAGGCAGGCAGGCAGGCAGGCAGGCAGGCAGGCAGGCAGGCAGGCAGGCCAGGCAGGCAGGCAGGCAGGCAGGCAGGCAGGTCGCATTTTTCTTTTCTGGTTATTGTTTCTTATTCTTGCGCTGTTTGCCACAGTGCTGAACAATAAAGCTTGTGCTCACTACAGCTGCCCACACTGCATTTCTCGTTGCGCTGTTTTATATTTATGACCATCTTTTTATTTATCAGCTTGAGATACATGATGAGTATTTCAGTAGGCCTTTCTAAGGTGGTGATTGGGCTGCACGTTTGCCTGTTTTCTACCTTCGTCACTACAACACTTCGGGTGGTAACACGTTTCTTTTTCTTTAGCGTAACAAGTAATGTATATAGTTTTTTTGGTAACGCATATAACACTGACTTCAGTTAATTTCACTCATTTTTGAACAGTTGGTTGCATTTTTAGAGGATCGAGATATCACAGGTTGCCCACTTGTTAGATTCCATTGCTTGAGAGATTTCGCTCCTGGCTCTCGTCATATCTTTAATGACATTTCTTTTAAGTTTTTTTATATATGTCTCTTTCGTGGGATATGTTACTGGGGCCACGCTTATCCGAGGCATTGCCGTCACAAGTGATATGCGAGTGCTATCTGCGTTCTTTCACGAGATCGTGCAGACCATATATTGGGTACCTGAGCAGATGTTTTTCAAATAAAAACCACTTGTTAGATTGTACTTGTCCGTGAGTGCCCTTTCCTTCGGGCTTGTTTCTTGCGCGCAAATGAGCAAAAATAAATATCTTTAAACCTTCAAGTGGGGCTTTTCGGCAGTGCAAATATTCCCTGGTTAGGTGCACCAATGAGCATTTCTCTACAGCAGTGAGACCACCTTTACAAGGAGATAAATGCGTGGTTTACACATGTCTGTTCGTTCGTTTCGAATGATTTTAAATTTAGAATATCATTTTAGTTCGTGTCGAAGTTAGACACAGAATGGAATATTCGTTGGAATTTCCGAAGTGCTTGAAAATTTACACGTTAGTACTAATCTAATCTGTGGCCGAGTGCCCCAGCTGCCGCGCCTATAATAAAACACTTCCTCGAAGAACAGCAAGCTTGTGATCAAGTTAAACGCTCTGTCGGAGACATCACGTGCAATATTATCCATTTACACTTCAATTTCGACGTGGTTAGGGACAGGTCTAATATCTATATTTATGCACTCGACTGCCAACAGTTGGCGGAATCGAGCGTGGCCTCCGAGATAGCAAACGCAGTCGCGGGCCAAGGCAGCGATTGTAACAGCTTACCTGAGCTTCTGTAGTTTATGGCCATTATAATACGCGTCTAATTATACTTTTCAATGCATAATTGTGTTTATAATTTTTTTTTTGTCACCGCTGTTAGACTCGGGATACTTAAGGACAGGCAACGTTGGGCATGCGGTTAACTTTAAAAAGCGTGTAAAAGTGTGAAAGAAAAAGATTCTGCGCGACCGTCGAACCGTCGGAGGCCTGTAGAATATTTGGTGAGTTCTTCGCATTAATTTCCTTCTCAGCTTATCTGGTTCTGTTTCTGTTCGACAATAGCAGTCTAAGCTATGTAGGCTAGTCTTTTTCGCGGAACACCGAGTATTCAATCAGCCTGGCGAAGGGATTTGACGTATCGCCTGTAATGGAGCGGGAAGGCTTACAGTGTGTGTAGAAGTGGTGTGATTTTTTAGTGGCACGCCGCTTCATCTGCAGTTGAATCACACAGGACGGGCTCTTTGTCATCTGCCTCGGGCCAGCGAGAAATTAGTCGCCCTAAGAGCAGTATTTCATTTCTTGTGTTCCCGCCGGCTCGATCTCATCTTGTCGAGGTTGTGGCACGGTGCATGCAATGAGGTCTGTTGTCACGAGAGCGGTAAACGTTGCCCTGTTCGACCGTTGGCGCTTATTAGAAGTTGGTGAGTTTGTTAAGTTACCATTATCGCTCCCCGTAGGGCCGTACATGCTAACCGTGGCTTGTTTGTATTAGACGCTGAGTTTGTGGCGACGACACTCCGTTTCCCGCCTAAAAATGGAGTTTTGAGCAGTAACGGGTGTACCAGGCGGGCCACCGCTTAATAAATCGGGATGATCCCACCTCACCTGGCCACCTTGAGAGAGGGCGCGCGCGCGGCGCGGCGGCCATCAATAAACAGTCCCTTGCTAGCTAGCGTCTCGTGTGGTTGTGTCTTTGCTGAGCGCGTAAAGCAGAACATGGTGTCAGAAGTGTAACAGTCGAACCCTGCGCTGAAGATGGACTGCCTACCACCACCCGAGCCACTTGTACTGACAAATACTCCGGCCGACAACTGGAAAAAGTTCCGCCAACGAATCGAACTCTACTTCAAAGCTACTGAGACCAACAAGAAACGGACGCCAGCACAGAAGGCTGCCATCTTTCTACACGTCGCGGGCCCAGAGGCAATTGAAGTGTTTAACACCCTACCTCTATCAGCAGAACAACGAGAGGACTATGACTCGATCGTCAAAGCCTTCGAAGACTACTGCACGCCTCGGTGCAACGAGACATTCGAAAGGTACGTCCTGCGCAGTCGGCAACAACAGGATGGTGAACCTTTCGAACAGTTTTTGCGCGACATTCAGTTGAAAGCACAGACTTGTAATTTTGGCGAACTTAGGGACTCGATGGTGAGGGACCAGATAGTGTGCGGTATCGTCGACAAGAAGCTACGTGCACGCCTGCTTCAGGAGAAGGACTTAACCCTAGAATCAGCTGTAGAAATCTGCAAAGCCGCGGAACTGGCAGCAACGCAGAACCGGGCTCTTGAAAGCGAAGCGAAAGTGCAGAGAGTCGAAAAAATTGCAAACGCTGCCGGACAGTCTCGTACGAGCGGACAACGTCGACGCTGTGGCTACTGTGGCAAGATTCACGGACCAAGACGCTGCCCAGCGTTTGGAAAAACGTGCACGCTGTGCAACAAAAGAAACCATTTTGCAGCTTGCTGCAGGAGTAGACGCGGCGTTCATGAGTTAGGCGTCGCTGCAACAGAAGATGCACTGGAGGAGTCCTCGGACGCTACCGATGAAGACATTCGGGTTCTCACGGTACAAATCAGAAACGTGTCCAAAAATCAGGATTGGACGGTGGCAGGGGACCTTGCCGGGCACCCGACAGAACTGAAAGTGGATACAGGAGCGCAAGCGAACATATTGCCGTACTCGTACTTTCGCAGGATGCGTTTGCCGACCATGGTGCGGCCATCGACCACAGTACTTACTAACTACGAAGGAAGCAAAATACATCATTTGGGCGTTATCAGTCTGCCACTACGTCTAGGAGAGCAGCAAGAGAATATCAGTTTTTTTGTGGTCAAGAGAGGCAAGCAAGTCCTACTCGGATTGAATGCAGCAGAACGTTTCGGGCTGATTTCCCGCGTTCACGATGTATCTTCAAGAAGTGACGTTAGCACCGACTGGGTCACCGAGTTCCCGGAGTTATTCCACGGTCTGGGCTGCATCCGTAGACCATATTCGCTGGCAATGAAGGATGATGCGCGCCCCACGATCATGCCGCCGAGGAAAGTGCCACACGCACTGCGAGCGCCACTTAAGCAGGAGTTGGCCCGGATGGTCTCGCAGGGCATCATATGCAAAATGGAAGAGCCGTCAGCCTGGGTGAGTCCACTTGTTCTTATTATGAAGAAGAATGGCCGCATGCGAATATGCCTAGACCCGCGGTACATTAATCGAAGCCTTAAACGCGAGCATTATCAGCTACCCTCACGTGAAGAAATAGAAGCAGAGCTGGCAGGAGCGGTGATGTTCACCAAGCTTGATGCCAATAGCGGGTTTCACCAGATCCCCTTAGACGAAGACACTTCAAAGATCTGCACCTTTAGCACGCCGTTCGGAAGATACCGATTTTTGCGCCTGCCATTTGGTATCGCGTCCGCCCCCGAAGTATTTCAGAAGGCAATGACGGAAGTGTTTGAAAACCTGCCGGGCACACGCGTATATGTCGATGATATTTTAATTTGGGGTGCATCAAAAGAGCAGCATGATCAACGCCTGCGTGCAGCACTGATGGCAGCGAGAAAGGCTGGCCTGACACTGAACAAAGAAAAGTGTCTGTTCGCGAAGGCCGAAATTAAATTCCTGGGAGATTGTATCAGCAAAGAAGGAATAAAACCCGATGCTAGTCTCATTGAATGCGTTGCAGCATGGATCGCCTCAGACTCTTTGGGATTACCACCCAAATGTCAGTACAAGTGGCTCGGGTGGTGGTAGGCAGTCCATCTTCAGCGCAGGGTTCGACTGTTACACTTCTGACACCATGTTCTGCTTTACGCGCTCAGCAAAGACACAACCACACGAGACGCTAGCTAGCAAGGGACTGTTTATTGATGGCCGCCGCGCCGCGCGCGCGCCCTCTCTCAAGGTGCATGCAATGAGGTCTGTTGTCACGAGAGCGGTAAACGTTGCCCTGTTCGACCGTTGGCGCTTATTAGAAGTTGGTGAGTTTGTTAAGTTACCATTATCGCTCCCCGTAGGGCCGTACATGCTAACCGTGGCTTGTTTGTATTAGACGCTGAGTTTGTGGCGACGACACTCCGTTTCCCGCCTAAAAATGGAGTTTTGAGCAGTAACGGGTAAAGGAGTTAATGAACTATGATCATAGGATAGGATCAACGCCTGCGTGCAGCACTGATGGCAGCGAGAAAGGCTGGCCTGACACTGAACAAAGAAAAGTGTCTGTTCGCGAAGGCCGAAGTTAAATTCCTGGGAGATTGTATCAGCAAAGAAGGAATAAAACCCGATGCTAGTCTCATTGAATGCGTTGCCAACATGCAAAAGCCGTCGAGTAAACAGGAAGTTCAAAGGTTTTTAGGTATTATGAATTACTTTGGCAAATTCATACCTAATCTCTCAAAAAGAACTGACGCCCTTAGGTCATTGATAAAGAATGATGTTGAATTCATATGGGAAGTTCACCATGACAAAGAATGGAAAGATCTTATTAAGGCTTTGACATCGGCTCCAGTGATCGCAGTTTTTGACCCATTGAAGCAAACGAAACTCTCAGCTGATGCATCAAGCTTTGCAGTAGGTGCTGCTCTTCTTCAACATCTTGTCGAGGTTGTGGCACGGTGCATGCAATGAGGTCTGTTGTCACGAGAGCGGTAAACGTTGCCCTGTTCGACCGTTGGCGCTTATTAGAAGTTGGTGAGTTTGTTAAGTTACCATTATCGCTCCCCGTAGGGCCGTACATGCTAACCGTGGCTTGTTTGTATTAGACGCTGAGTTTGTGGCGACGACACTCCGTTTCCCGCCTAAAAATGGAGTTTTGAGCAGTAACGGGTAAAGGAGTTAATGACGATTAATGACAAAGTGCAGGAAACTGCCTTCACTACTAAGTGGGGTCTTTCTACGGTGGCTTTTCTAGGAATGCTATGTATTTATAGAGTCGATCTTAGCCCTTCAAAACCACACCTACACTTCAAAATTTGCTCCAGCTTTAATGCACAAGTTAGTAGTTTTTTGGATGATTGATTGAGATGTGGTGTATAACGGCTCAAAACCACGGTATGTATATGAGACACTTAGTGGAGGGCTCCGGAAATTTCCGGTCAGCAGCCAAGTACCTTAGCAACTGGACCTCTGTAGCGGGGTACAGTGGCTAGAGATGTATGCATACAACATACATACATCCTCTACATGTATGCATGTTGTAGGCTAATTTGTCCATTCATTTTGAAGACATATTTAAACTGCGTAAATAAAACATGTTAGGCACATAAAACACACACACACACCAAAGTGCTTCGTGTGTGTGTATTCTACGTGTCTAACATGTTGTCTTTGTTGTGCAGTTTAAATAAGTCTTTTAGATCTCGTGTAACAGTGGCCACTGTCCCCGAACATTTCAAGAACATGGTTGCAGAAAGCAATAACTCCAAATGTGTCATAGATACTCCCTATATTTATTGTGATCTCCACATCTAGTGGAAATAAGAAGTAGCTAAGGGGCATTAGGATTTCTTTTTTAATGGCTGCTAATAAGCTTGGTAAGATGCACATGCAAAGGAAGAACGAGGAAGTAATAGACAAGAAAAGGACTAAGATTTGTTTTTTAAAGTGCACCAACAATTTTCACTGATTGCTTTACTGGTGCACTGTATATGGTTTATTTTAGCTGCAGCTGCTTCTACGTAGGACAGACAAGTGGCTTTGTTCAACAGATTGTAGGAACATAAGAAATTGCTAGGTGGAGGCTCATCATCGAATCGTATGTTTACATTGCATAGTGTGTAAATGCATACTGGAAGTCGACGAATGCATAGATTTGCGCAGGCAGAAAAATGAAAACAGGCATTTAATGTTTGCGCCTCCAATGGTAATAGTGGTAATGCATATAGGAGCCAACCGTCAATTACCTTGCAACCAACAGTCAATCGCCATACTGGATTGATAGGTATCACTCTTTGCGTCCTGAGCATGTACAGATAACTTTTCATGTCTAGTTTCTTTTCTGCCAGCT